AGTCCTCTTTGGTTTTTGTCTGTAGCTCAGAAGTAAGCCTGATGCTCCAGCAAAAGTCTGAATGATGCAGAGTCAAGTGCCCTCATTACCTCTTTATTTCAGGTTATTCGAGGTCTATTGATGGAGCCCAGGATGTTATATGAAATCCCCAAAGTAAGTCCGGGATTTTACCTTCCAAATGAAATGGCAGACACAAATTCTACATTATCTGTGATTACAGTGAACGAGGTTAGCACACTATTATTTGGTTGTGAATACCCTCGTTGGCTTTTGAAGGCTTTGCGTACTCATGTGTAACAGCCTTCCATGGATAACACAGCCGGCGGTACCCTCCAAATGCTGTATCATTTATCTTTTTTGAGGTTTTAAAAAGATAAAAGAAACAAGCAAAAATTGCTCTCCTGCTCCCCTCCCCCACGTTCTTTGTTTGTTCTAGTTACACAGCTGTAAAACCAGCCTGGGAACAATGGTGGGAGGAGAATATTCTTTAATCTCAGTGTCTGACCTCCTGATATTCTGTAGACATCGCAAAGCACATGTATTCCCGTGAGAATTATTACTGTCTGCCCAATAAAGAAAGATATTGTGCAAAATTAACCAAACACACTAAAATTCAAGTGCCAAATAATGTTTTGATACTTTCTACAGGTACAATATAAGGCGCCATGAAATATTTGTACTTGTATAAATATGCCAGGATAAAAATGACTTTTTGCGGACTAGAGATTTCCTTACAGCGTGCTTAGGGTCTTATATCAACTCATCTGTTTCCGTTCAATCAATTATATTCTATAATCAACTCAATACATTGCTGATGACAAACACAAACATTCTCTATTCAATTCAATGTATTACATACACCTACAATGAGATAAAGTGTCAAAAATCTTACACATCTCCAACACAAAAAGATGCATCAATATATGCTAGCCAAATTCTTATGTGAACTAACTCAGTAATGTTGACAATGCTTTGAATAGAACACAATGAATACCACTCATCATGGGATGCTTATCTTTAGAGGGTATAGACTATAACAAAAATGATAGCTATAAAATTTGTATATCAGGATCAGGTCAGAAAAATACATTAACCATGCAGAGTTACAAAATAATATATTAGTCCATATTTTAAATAAATTCTCAAAGGGAATAGAAATATAAATGTATATATGTAATATATAATATATATGTACAGTGTATATATAAATGCCTATAAATATACTTGTCATTTTAGTTGCTTACAAGAGAAACTGTGCTGTTTATTTTGTAAACCAATTCATGTAGATGTCCAAGAAAGACCCAGCATCCTTCCTAAAACATGTAAGAAATACTGCATATAAAACAATGTTAGCCCCTCCATAATATTTTTCTATGTGAGAATTTTTAAAGTAACACAAGAAATAAAGGAGAGTCTTTGCTATGATGGACATAAAATTTCCCACGTGTTGTTTTTGTCGATTCAGAGCATATCTGTGGAAGGCACCAGGGACTTCGGTTTAGGAAGAGGATCCAAGGCTGATGTACTGTCTGCTTCCTGAAGATGGCACTCAGCCGTTTTACAACACTTCACAGAGATAAATTGGCATGAAGAATCAGGAACTGAAAAGCTAGCCCCTTGGGAATGAAACCTAAAACAGAATCTCTGGGCTCCAAGAACATAGAAGATGTGGGAAAAGCAGATGCAGCTCAGAGTACCCGGGGGAGACACTCGTGGTGAAGCTGAATGAAAAGAGGTTCCTGGGAGAGATGGGGCAAAGAACAGCTTTAGATGGGTTCTTGCTTTCAAAGCGACGGTTTGCAAAAGGTAAGGCTGTTTGCTGTAGATAGACTCATCTTCTACTCAAGTTCTTGTTTGTTGTTATTGTTTAGATCTGCTGTGCATTTTCCGTTCTTGTTTGGTTTGTTTCACCACCCCTAAAACACGGTCTTGTATGAAAACACGAGGAGCCATGCCACACTCTTCCACAGAGACTTATTTGACCAGCTTCATAGATGTGAGGGATTCTGATGGTCAACAGAGGCCTTTATTTCCCTCTAAACTAATTGTTCTTCCATTGTAATTTTCATGGCTTCACAATTTCTGCATCAATTGAATGTATGCTTGGAGTACTTAAGAACATTTTCATCTAGGCCTCAGCATGCTTAAGAGTTGCACAGGCAGAGGCAGGAGGATCTCTGTGAATTCAGGTCAACCTGGCCAACACAGTGAGTTTCCAGGCCAGTAGGAGCTACACAGAGAGACCTTGTCTCTAAAAACAATAATAATCAACACAAAAAATTATGGCATCTTTTAACTTCTGATGCCAGAAAAGTATGTAGGACTTGAGATTTGACAGCTAACACCATGATGGACTAGGAAAGGTCTCAGAGTCCATGAGAACCCTGCCTGTAACTCTGGAACAGCTACTTGGAAGATAGACCTTTTTCATATGAAATTGCATTCATATTGTACTTTTTTGTTTTGTTTTTCAAGGCAGGGTTTCTCTGTAGTTTTGAAGCCCATCCTGGAACTATCTTTTGTAGACCATGCTGACCTCGAACTCACAGAGATCCACCTGCCTCTGCCTCCCGAGTGCTGGGATTAAAGGCATGCACCACCACCACCCGGCTCATATTGTACTTTTCTGAACACAGGCTTTAATGAAATTGGATTCGTGGGGTTTCTTTTTTTTTCCATTGTAAATTAACAGTTCTGTTAAAATCTTCAAAGAGTTTTGAAATACCATGATCTTCAGAGAAATTTATAGGGACCAAAAGGGACAGGATGGGAACTAGAATGAATCAAGTATTTGAGCAATTCTTAGATACTATGATAATACCACACACACACACACACACACATACACACACACACACACATACATGCACACATGCACACACAGAGAGAAAGAGGGTGCAAGATTTAAATAAGCAAGTAAATGTATGATCCTACTGAATCCTTGCAAAAGTCCTGTATAATTGTTGCTGTTATATTTGTCATCAATGAATGAGAAAGTGATGCACAGAAACAGAAAAAGTCAGCTGGCCAGTATCAGAATGGTTTTTGAATTGCATTCAGCTGGGGATACAAATATGGGATGGTTCCCTTACATAATACCACATGCTAAGGAGATGAATAAACAGTCCATTATGCATGGTCTCTGTGGTTACCTGTACAGGACTCACACAAGATTAGGCCCAGACACATTTTATCACAGACAAATGCGAGGCAAGAGAGAACCACCACTCACTGAGGAACTAGCGGCACTTAATGGTTGTTAGGGAATGGGTATCATTTTCTTCAGTGGTGTAGCCATGGACAAGTTGATTTATCAAAATACACGTGCTGCCTTCTCTTTCAGCTCACCGCGCTAGCCTAAGATTTCCATGGTCCTTGTTACTAGGAAGTAAAGGCAAGAAATTTGTTTCATTTCCTTGTACAAACTTATGCAAACGTTTCTGATAGGGGACATAGTTGCCTTCCTCACTGACACTTTTCTTCAATGTTGACCATCTTTAAATTTGATGATGATTAAATGTATTGTGAGTTTCTTGATATGCTCTAGGCAAGAAATTTCTAAGTATAAAAAAGTTGTTGACAGTCTTTCATAAGAGTCAGTTTATTTTGTGATGTGCAAAAGGAATTCAAATGTTCAAGTATCATCTTAGATAATAGACATATTTGATATTTTAAATAGAATAAATATGGCACACTTCATGTATTTTAAAGTCTCACCTCATGACTTATTTTTCATAAAAATTCTCAATATTTCAATATGTGAAAAAGGAATATTTTTCTTGAGCTAACATCTAATGACATTTTCAAAAACAGATAAAACAATCAAAATGAGACACTAAAATATATTCATAAAGACAAAACTCTAAGGTATTGGTTATTCTAGAATGGAAAGAATCTAGCAGAAGAGAGAGAAGGAGGAAAGAGTCTAAGTTAGGGAGAGATGAAGTAAAAGGATGCCTTTTGGACATGACACAGCCACAGCAATCATGATGTCACGGCACTCAAGACGTCACAGCACTCATGAACTCACAATACTTGTGACGTCACAGCACTCATGGCCTCGCAGCGCTCATGACCTCACAGCACTCATGATGCCACAGCACTCATGACCTCATGGCATTCATGACCTCGCAGCACTCATGACCTCGAGGCACCCATGACGTCACAGCACTCATGACGTCACAGCACTCATGAATTCACAATACTTGTGACGTCACAGCACTCATGACCTCACAGCGCTCATGACCTCACAACACTCATGACCTCACAGCACTCGTGATGTCACAGCACTCATAACCTCGCAGCATTCATGACCTCATGGCACTCATGACCTCAAAACAACTGTGATTCTCTGCACAAGGCCTTCACGAAATTAGCCCATCAGCATCTCATGATGGGCAGAGCAGGGGTCTGTATAGCTCTACCCTTCTCAAGGGAGTTTGGTGTTTTTAATGAGAATGACTTCTATAGAATCATATGTTTGAATACTTGGTCCCCAGTAGGTAGAACTATTTGGGAATGATGAGGAGGTGTGGCCTTACTGGAGGAAGTGTGTCACTAGAGATGGGCTTTGGAGTTTCAAAAGTCCATGCCATTGCCAGCATTGCCAGTTAGCTCTCTCTCTCTCTCTCTCTCTCTCTCTCTCTCTCTCTCTCTCTCTCTCCCTTCCTACTCCCTCCCTTCTTCCCTCCCTCCCTTCCTCTCTCCCTCTTTTCCTTCCTCCCTCTCTCCCTCCCTTTCTCTTTGCTTCTTGTTTTGTGAATTAAGCTGGAAGCTCTCAGCTACTACTTAGCCCATACCTGCCTTCCTGCTGGGATCCCCAACACTGTGGATGTGTACTACCCTCTGAAACTGTAAGTTCCCATTAACACTTTGTTCTACAAGTTGCCTTGGTTACAGTGTCTTAACTCAGCAATAGAAAAGTAACTAACACACAGTATTGGCACATAATGGCTGTTGGGGGAGGGGTGAACTTTTCTTTGTGGGATAGCCACAGACAATTTGCCTTGACGACTATGCAAGTCAAAAATGTCTCTCACTAAGTTCAGTGGGTGACGCAGTGAGAGGTAACAGCAGAGGCACTGTGGGGAAGAACTCCAGTGGAAGAGGTGAGGAAGTGGTGGAAGGCAGTGAGTAAAATATATTATACAAATGAATGAGACGACCATACACCACAAAAGAGGAAAAAGCTTAGAAAAGCTAGCAGACTCCCTGACCTAGCATCTGTTCCTTGACAAGACCTCATTCAGATGTCTGTCCATGACGCCTTGTCTTTATCATGACAGTCCAATAAGGAAGTAGGATTTCCTGTCATGTTTTCTATGTGCGTGGAGGGGGAAACAAATGGAAGTGAGTTTTGCTGCTACCAAAGGATGTGCATTTTGTAAGTGGAAGCATAAGAGCACACTCCTGGTTTTCTGCCTCCCCAGTCTTTCTTTCCCGATACCATGCTGCTTGCAGTGTATGGCATAAGTAACTCTGAGACAAGGATGGGCGGTGTCTCAGACACGAATGTTTTGTTCACCCTTTAGAGATGTGTCGAGGAGAAAACCTCACCAGGCAGCAGATAATCTAACACTGAATGGTGCAGACCGTTTGCGTTAATGGAAATTCAGGGGGAAAAAGGTGCTATCTGAGGCCAAAGAAAACAAAGTGCAGTAGATCCTGGGAAATTAATGGTGAGAGTTCTGCAGCTGTGCCCATCGCCCCTCAGAAGTCACGTGCCCGTGGTGTTCTGGCTCAAGTACATGCAGTGCCGCACCTAAGGCGCTGCCTGCATGCAAATCAGCCTTGCCCTGCCAGGAATGAAGGCGGCCCTGAAGTCAGAGCATCGAGATTCCAATGCTCCCTTCTAACACGTGGGGCAATCCTGAAGAAAGATTTTACTCGAGGGCTTCTTATTAGCATTGAGACGGGCTGCTATCTCAGTTACCTGCCCATGAAGGCATCTCCATACTGGCTTTCTTTCCTTTCTGGTCTAGCTACAATACTCTCCAGTTACTGTTCCCCAAACGTATCTCCCAAGCAAGCCATCCATACTTAACTCCTTATTGCATAGGCTGCTTCACAGGGATACCAATTTGTGACCCATCTACAATGGCTCCAAGCACTATGGCTGAGCACATGTGTTCTAGAAGTTCATCCTCATGGTAGTCAAGAGGTAAGAATGCCTATACAGCCGCCATCTGCAGATGGGGTACCTGAAAGACTGAGTAACTCATCCAGATTTGAATCAGGACATCTGGATCCATGCTGGTACTATTAGCTGTAAGGTAGATTGCCTCTCTACACAAAGAGCCAAAGACTGTAGAAAAGCAAGCTGTGCTATAAGAAGTCCAAAAGACTTGAGGAGAACAGAAGGAAGACTTGGTTCTAACTTCAGAGTAGGCAAATAAAGCAGAATGGTGGCTAATGTGTTAGCATGGATTTGCATAGAAGAATATTTTAATACAAGGTTCATTGAGCAGTGGAAAGTGTCTTCATATGACGTAGGGTGTCATCAAAGGAGCTATGCAAGGAGAGAGGGGTGCGAAGGCACAGAGTTAGTGACCAGTTGGACTCTAGCTTCTTAGTCCTTCTTTAAAAGCACAACACTTATGTGCATTTGCTGATCAACAACTGTCGTGTCAATTTTATCTAGGTTACTTTGGGCTATGTTTAAAGGAGACGTCTCGTTATTTACAGACATATTTTCACTAACAACAGCAAAGGCTGGAGAAGATGTGGAGGAAATAGGAACTCATTCTTCGTTGGAATGCAGAGGGAAGGAGGTAATGATATAAGTAGATAAGTAGATTATAATATCAAACATTTAAATTCAAAACTCAAATATAGAATATGTAGGTTGTAAACAAAAAGAAATAAATTTTTTAAAAATGAAAAGGAGACTTATACTATAAGATTTGAAAGGTAGAGGCCAAATGCGGCAGGGCCCAATGCCATATTTTAACAATGTAGAACCAATATATTTTCTTGGTTAAATGAAATACAATAAGACTGATTTTCTTGAGTTTTGTTGGACTGTGCTAACATATATGCCAACAGCCGATGATGAAAGTGAATTTATATGCAACATTAATGTTCTGAATGCAGGCACAGACATAACAGAGTTGTAAGGTTAATTTTAAGGTGTTCATCTCAGCAGAAAAAACAAACATACAAGTATATGTAGACACATACACACATATGAAAGTACAGTCAGTGAATGAGTGGGGAATTAAGTGCCAGTTAGTTCTGAAGAAAGTTTCTCAGAAGGCTCTCAGGTCAATCGGCATTTAGAAGATCAATTGCATATGAAAACTCAGACAAATTCTCCCCAGTGTTAAAAGTTAAAATGTGTGAGAATTATTTAAGCTCAGGTCTCAATTTTTTAATACAGAAAATTTACCCGTCCAAACACACGATCTGTCTCATAGAAGTTGAAATGAATCATGACAGCCATAAATCCTAGGAACACGATTCTGAAATTACTTTCCATCTAACACTGTGTTTAAGATGTGGTGCATGTATCAATTGTCTATCAGTCTATCAAATGTATTTTCACTATCATTGTGGATGTCAACACTTACAGGTATAAAATTGCTGTTTTTAAAGTTGGATTTTTTTCTGAAGCATGAATTAAGAGGAAATGCTGTAGCAGAGACTAGGGGTTGTTGTAGGAAAAGCTAAATCCTGAAGAAAAGCTTGAGAGTCCAATTTCCTGGACCCACCCAACTAGAAGGAAAAAAAAACCCAAATTCTATAAGATGACCTCTGACCTTCACATGTGAACCATGACATGCACATGCTCCTACATAAGAAATAAATACATGTGGCTTTTTAAAGGAAATAACCAGACCTCAGTCCCCAAGTAGTTTTCTGACCAATATATTACTTCTCTGTTTATCTCGAACTGAAGAGCAACTGTTCCCCTATGAGTGATTAGGACCCCTCAACTCATTATAGTGAGTTCAGAAACCACAGGTGAAATATCACAACAGTCCCAGAAAGAGACGGAAGGGAGGAGGGAGGGAAATGAAGGAAGCACAACTAAAGAGAAAACTATAAAATCTGTTAGAAATTGTGATCATGGCCTATGGGCTCATAAAACCGCTAAATAATAGCTATTAATGCCTCATATTTGTCATTTACCCTGCAAAGCATCATTGGAACATAAAAGAGAATTTGCTTGAATAAATACGTAACCGAGGCTAGACCAATTTACATGAATAAATACGTAACCGAGGCTAGACCAATTAGAGTTACACGTAGAATGTTTCATTGTTTTCAGTAAGCAAGCTTCCCAGAGACCAGTGACACTTTCAAGTAAACGTCACAGGGTGAAATCATTATAAAAAATTAGGTGATATATAGGAATTTTTGACATTTGAACAAAGGCACAGAAAATTTCCTATTAAAAAGGAGCAGAGCTGAACCCCCCCCCCTTTTTTTTGTTTCTTCCCACTTATGTATTTTATTCATTTGAAGACAAAAGTCAAAGAAAACAACTCAGGGCTTCTGTTTGCCTCGCCAGAGTTGTTTCCAGGAGGCACAAGGAATCTCGTTCTTGCGAACTCAGGTCTCAAAGATGGGATTGCCATCTAATGCGCATGTTCCCAAGATGCTTCAAGCCACGCCAGACAGACAGCAGCAACAGAACTCCGCATGTGCTGGAAATCCCCAAACCATACTTGATTGGAAAGTATCATAAAATGATTTAATTAATTATAGAACAATTCACGATTTAGTCGTTAGAAGCTGTCACACGCCTGTCAGATCTCTGTACTGTCCTCTGCCGTCATAACGTGAGTCAGTAAGTTCAAAGGCAGACTAAACCACCTTTCAATGGCTTGATATCGTCTTTCAGTATCTGTGTCCTATTTTCAACTTGCTTGGTACCCTTGAACTTGTCGCCTTTCCTGTCTCCACAGAGGACGTTTCACGGCCTGGCTAAGCATCCCATTTGCCTTGCTGTGCCACATGCCCTGCTAAGATGTGATTTTTAGCTTACGTATCTCATAGGAAGCAGAAGTAACACAAACAAATTCTCCCAGGATCTCAAGACTCGCATCAATATAGTTGTGATATTATCTATACCTCTTCTCCTGACCCTCCTTCTCTCTTAGATCGGTGTGTTCTCCACTGGATTCTTCCTTCAGTAAGTGAGGGAAAGCCGGTTCCTTGGGATTCTGGATACTAGAAATCGGCTTTCCCTCCATTCTACTCTCCCCGTCCCGCCTTCTGTCTCCACTCCTATCCTTTCTGCTCAAAACTGTGAAAGAAGTCATTTTGCCTAAGTTTTCTGGTTTTGAGACCCCTAAAATAAAGCTTTCCCTGAGACAGTCCCTCAAACCACTCTGAAAATTGTTGCAGTAGCCAGCAATCCTCATACCAATCAGCATAGATTTTTACCATTTCTACACTTCTTTAAGGTACTCGGGTTAATACTGTTAAGTCAAGTCTTTCTTTGTATCTTACAAAGCCTTGTATATCTCTTAGTTATCTGTTCCCTATTGTACTGTAGTTATGTTTTTTTTGTGGCTATGAATATATCCAAGGAAGGACTCTTGAGGTATTTATTTGGGAATACTTCATGCTTAGAACACTTACTGTGTTCCACCTATTCCAATATGATCCACTGAGAATGACCTTATCCAGAAGCAGGTATGATGTCATTGCAGACAGTGCTCATACTCTCTTCCTAAGGACATTAAGAAATTTAAAATTCCAGAGTTAGTTGATCACGTTGAAAAGCAGCAATGTTGGCAGCAAACGCCCAGATTTATATGATCAGCAAGATGCTGTCAGAGATATTACATCTGACTGTCACCAAGTAGAGCTAATAACGGAGAGCCGGGGCTAGCGTAGACATGGCCAAGCAGCACCCCTGTGAAGACGGTCAATGGCGCAGGCCCTCCTCTGCTCACGACACGTGAGTCCAGAGCATAGAGTTCTTTCCACTTTGCCCCAGCGTCCTGCCAATTCAGCACTCACTGCAGTTTGTGTTTCTCCTTGACCAAACTGAGTGTGGCAACGCTCCTAATACATTTGCCTGGAGAAGCACCTTCTACTAATTTGCAAAGGACCCTTTGGGCCAGAATGGCTCAGGAGTGCAGCTCATGGCAAATTCCTTGCAAGCATTACTCATTCTGAGAAAACAGAGAAAGCTGCTGACATAGAGGAAGCAGAGGTCATAGTACTAAGATCCACAAATGCTTCCGCAAGGAAAGGGCACTCACGTTCACAGGTGCCGGGCACACTGACCCAACAGGCTAACTAATAGAAGACAATCTGCCAATTTTCCCTGGTATACTGTTAATCTGTTTTCTAGAAGGGCCATGGACACAGTGTGGTGGATTAAAGAGAGATTGGGATTTGAAATTAGGCTAGACCTGGGGTGGGCCAGCTTCATTATGCCGGTGGAATGGCATCCTGAGGAAGTCCCTGAGCCTCGGAGCATTCCATTATGTAAAGAATGGGTCAAGAAGGTGAAATCAGAAAGCCACTGATGGCTAGTGAGATGCCTCAGTGGGTCAAGTATTTTCTGTACACATATAAGGAGCAGAGTTCAGAATTCCCAGTACCCTTATAAAAGCTTGGCATGGTAGCACATATCTATAACTCCAGTACTGGTTGGAAGCTGGGAAGACAGACAGATCTTGCAGCCTTCCTTGTCAGCCAGCCTTGCCAAAACAGTAAATTACAGGTTCAGGTACAGGCCATATCTCAAAAACATAAAGTGGAGAGTTATTGGAAAGACATGATAGTCTCCACGTGTGCACACAGGAGCGTGCACCCCCGAACACACCATAACATAGACCATACATACAACTGCAAACTAACGTCACTGTTGTTACTGAATGATGTTGCTCCTATGATATCACAGGGCATGCGCAGGCAAGCTCAGCCAGTGTGGTTGTACCATGTTATATAAACTAGTTATATTTGTTACCGATATTCTTTAAAAAATCACCCACATGCTTTTCGCATGCATACCCTTTTAATAAATTATCACTCATGTTCATTCTATGAGACTGTCTTCCATGGTCTCTAACACAAACGATTACTAGATGGTGCATTCATTTTAACTAGTGGTGTAAGAGCTCTGAGAGTGTTCACAAGGTCACAGACAACAGTAACACAGCTTAGGTTACAATTAGAAACTTGGGAGTTAATGTGCTCTACACAGCCAATAACATGTATGTATAATCCTGGTTATCCATCCTTCAAACCCTATATATACATAAGTATATATATATATGTATATGTGTATGTATATATATGTGTGTGTGTATGTATATATCTATGTAATACACTACACAATTTTTATATGATAGTATCCCTAACCATGTTGTCTTGGCCATGTGTATAGGCTGATGATTCTCAATTAATAGGAAACACAATCTAACAGCCCACCAAGTGATCATCAGACCTCAGATAATTTATGGCTTAGAGACATTTTTGAAGTCATTGCCTAAAAGATTGGAATGAGGAAGGTAGACAGAGTTACATTTTGTGTGATAGGTCAAAGAAAGATAAATGTGAGTCAAGGATTAAAAAAATAAAAGGGAACTTTGACTCTATGAACAACGAGAAAGGGGCTGTTTCTTTTCCTTTGCTTATTCTTTCACTTAAGAATTCTGAAATACATTTCTTTGTCTCCAGAGCTGACTAAATTCTGTTTAGCTGAAAGACATCAGCATTAGAAGAAGCAACTCAACAGCACCAGAACTAGAAGAGTGGAGTGGGTAGTGAAGAATTTAACGGACGAGAGGCAGCCCAAATATTTGGCTAATATGCTTTTCTTTTTCCTTTCTTTCTTTTGTAAAGATTCCCTAAGACCTTCCCAGCTTGGCCCCACTTAACTCACAGTCAGGATTTAAATCAGTTTAGCAGCCATAAAAGACTTAAGCGCTAGAGTTCCATTCCATACGTTGTGGGCACGCACTAGGGTTTCCAGTTGTAAATTTCCTTCTCGATCACGATGTTCCTAATACATTTTATTTTCACTTATAAGCTCTAAGGTACTGCTTAGAATTCAAGAAGGATACAGTGAGGGGCAATAAAGGACATTAAAATGGAAAGCCAAGAGAGGGAGAAAGTATATTTAATAAGGTCAGAAGATCATCCAATTAAAAACCACCTTTATCTAAGCTTAACCGTCTGCCTTACAATTGCCCGAACTTACAACTGTGCCCTAATGATGGATGAACAAGAGGAGTCTCCGTGATTCTCAGCCTGATCTCATTAGTCAAGTGTTTCCATGTCAACTTTTTGGTCCTCCCAGGATCTAGCACTGAGTTTCGAGTCTGGTGTTTGGGGAAGAACTGCCCCAAGGAGGACAAGAAAGCTCTGAGACAAGGTCAACTGACACAATGGCCAGAGAAACTCTGCAGGCTCTTGATGGGTTTTGCTTACCAAACTGAGCAGAATAGCATAATTCTGTAGAAGACTCGATTCAGCCTGTCCTTCACTGCATATATTGTAATCTTTTACTGTCAAAACCATGAACTCTGCAAAAAATTTTTTCTAGCTGACACTTCTTTCTGGAGCTTCAACTGAAAAGTGGCCGGAGAGGAAGAATTCCCCTTCTTTAAACAACAAGTCATCTTGTCTTGCCCCAAATGTTCATTCATTGGGTGAATTCTTTAAAATACATACTTGCATAGTTTTGACCATATGCAGATAACACTATTGTAAGCTTATCTATACACTGCCTGACTCTATAGAGGGTATGGATCAATCAAAACAAAACAAAGTGACTTGGCTCATGAGTCAAATCCTTGCTTTATAGAGAAATACCCCAACTGTGTCTACTAGACTTCAGTTCTTGAGAGCTTATCCTTGGAAGCAGACTGTACAATAAAGGGATGCAGGAGTCTTAAAGGAGAAACAGCCTCAATATTGATTTAAGGGGCTATAATCATCCCCATTTCACCTTTTGATCAAAGAGAGCTGTCAACGTCACTGCTGAAGTTTGTTAAGAAGCATTTTAGACATCTGGTCCTAAGAAAATGAAGCCCTAAGCACCAAATGAGTAAATAATTAATCAGCACCCATAATTACTAGTCCCAAACCTTCCTTCTTCAGCAAAGTTCTTTGACTTCTATCAGCCCCATTCTCTGGGTCAGCTGAGCCCATTCAAAAAGGGTTACAGAGGAATCCAAACAGCAAGCCTTCCCAAAGTTTGAAACTACCCTTCTCGATTGCATTCAACTTGGTGCATCTTGCACCGGTTTGTAGCATTTTAATATCTTTTTCCAAATCATTCTATACAAATTATGTGATATATGTGAGCAAAAACTACAGGCCTATGTTAGCGCCACCATGTTGTGCCATCCTTGCGAGATCCCTTCCTGTAATCCAACATCACAGCATCGCGAGGCTTCTTAGGAGTCCTCTTAATTGCTACTGGATGGAATTTAAATTCCTAGAAAGCTGACTTGTATTTTCCTTCTTCGACCATGGAAGCCCCATTCCTGCATTGCCAGGCTACCATTCTACTCTCCCAACTTGGCGGAATAAAACACTAGAGGTATAGACTGCTTGTTTATTCAGTTGGGCCAATCCTTATCTTTGTTTGGCTTGGCAGTAAAAAGGCTAAAATGTGTAATGGAAAAGACGCCTTTGCAATAAAATCCTCCAGCAAACACTTCAAATGTAGCTTCAAACAAGGAGGACACATTTTTCATACCCTTCTGCCCCTTTGCTACCGCCACCAAGGGGCGGGTAGTGTTCTATTAAGCCAGGTACTCAGTCCACTTATTAACTTTAACTTTGTAACTGAGAAACAGTGAACTCGTCATTGGATTGCACAACCATCCACGTACCAGGCTAAGGAGAGGAAGATGAGAATTTCTGTTTGGATAGGGACCCTGAGAAACTTCCGAAACTTCTCCAGACCTGCAATTATTAATTTTTCTCTCTTCCTGGCTTCTCATAAGGCAAACAAGAAAGAGGCTAGACTGTGTGTGTGTGTGTGTGTGTGTGTGTGTGTGTGTGTGTCTACCTGGCCTATCCAAAGGACTTATTGCCTTCAAGGACCTGAGCTAGGGTTCCTGAAATCAGAGCACATTGTCTCCTTTCAAATGACATTGGTCTGTTGCCACCTTCTGATCTGTCCCTCCACAAAGAGACAGAGGAGCGTGTGAAGATGAAGAAAGGCAGTCCTTTTGTACCTTTTGATTCATTAACAAGAGCACTGAAGAGCATGACACTGATCCAAGAGGGGCTCTAACTGTGGGGCAAAGGGAAAGAAGGTTTCCTGTCAGACAGTAAGACTGGCTTACTGCAGCACTGAGGTGGGGTTGTCTATAAGGAAAACAACAACTGGGCAAGTTAAGAGTCAAGCACACCGCTAAGTGGGTCACCTGGAAAAAACCACTACCTTCCTCCTTTGAGTTCAATGTCTCAATAGCGAATCCTTCTAAGGAGCCCAGGGGAAAACAGTCACACAGAGCACCGGTATCCACCCTGGCTCAGTTTTTTTTCACAACAATAACACATTGGCACAGCAGGCACTGAAATGGATGAAGGGTTACCTCGCTCCAGGCACAAAAGAAACCATTCAGGACTCTCAACTTCTCTATACATCTTTGGAACACATGTATTACAGAACGACAGAAGCATGAATAAGCAAATTTGCATCCCCCCCCCCCCCAAAACAACAGAGTTGAGCAGCTCGTTTTCTTCCAGTCAAAAGTCGAGGGGAGGTTAATGAAAATAAAAGGTGACTATGCTACTAGGCTTCCAAAGGGTACAGGCGTCCAAGTATTGCAACGTAAACAAATGGACTCAAACAATAGGACTTAGCTAGATTAGAAACTGTTGCTTTGCAGAAGGGCAAACTTTATATAAAAGAGAATGGTAATTTTCCCTTTAAAGGAAAATTGCCTTTGCTTTGTTTAAAACAAAGCTCCCGAGGCATGGCATTAGCCATGAAGAAAGCTGTAAAACCAGAAGAAGGATGGACAGATGCCTACTATGTACCAGGACTACTTTTAGCCCTTTTGATCTCAGGATTAAGAGCTACTGATGTGATGCTTTCTGTAAGAACAACTAGATCCTTAGGCTGATGTCTGATCCTCACCAACAGGGGAAGCAAGGCACTGGCACCAAAGCCCTCCTGAGTCTGGAACTCTGGCGATGCAGCTGAAGTGGGCCACTGAGGCCTGCAGACAGGCCATCCAGACTCTCTCACAGACATCCCAGTGCTTGGGGATAAAGGCTCTGGGAGAAGGAGACCCGCCTCAGCAGTGGTTCTGGGTAACTCTGGAGTTGTAGCAAAACAGGGTCCTGCCAAGGGTGACAGAGGAGGTCTCCCACCCTGTGTTCAAAGCTGGGAATCGGAACCTCCGGAACACCTCACTAGGTGATTTTGCTGGTGTCTTAAACTAGGAGACTCTGATGGGCCACAAAAGCAGTGATGGACCCCTCAGACATCTGTGTTTGTGTACCTATTACTTATCTTGAGTCCCGTCAAAAATGCTTACATGGGGAACATGCTTTGAAACATCAGGCCCAATACAGTAGCATAATGCATGCATGTTGTAAGACTAAATCTTCACAATGTGCTTTTCTCATGCATAAATCATCAAGTTTCTGCTGTGAGAAATTGAATCCACGCCCTCCTATTAGGTACACTGAAGACGAGCAACTTTCAAAATAAGCACCTTTGTCCTTGTCACGGCCTCAGCAATTAGCTCCTACACACGCAGGCACAGACGCCAACCAGAAATGGAACAGGATGGGCCTGTCTGGAGACCTCAACACATTGGATCATTGAATTGAACCATAATCCCTAACCAAACACTCAAGAACTAAGCAAGCTTTCTAGGAGTCAGAGCACTTCATGTGTGAGAATTGTATCAGAATTCTATTGGTTCAGCCCAGAAGTGCTATCCTTGAACAGTTAAAGCATTCTTAAAGGTGAGCAAGTCAGATGTTATGATGTGTTTGAGAAATATTGAGTCAGCATTAAAAGTTTCCTCCAGCCTTCTGTGGAATGCAGGCCAATTGATATGAGATGTCAGAAATCCTTGTATATCCTTTCTTGGGGCCAATTTCAAATAAAAAAGACAGATGAAGTAAATTTCCAATCCTCCCATTTCTGTTACATACTAGGTTGGTTGTCATTTTCTACTTTTTTGGACTATGAAATATTAATTATTGTGAATACCTTTATGATTTTCTTATTTGGGATGTTTTTTATGAACAAGAAAATTTTAATTGCATAATCGTTACTTCTCAGTCTTCTTGGTTTTACACTTAGGTTAGTTGTTCGCTCCCCCCCCCCCCGCCCCGTATTCTTGCTCAGGACAAACCTTCCTCTGCTTCTTGTCCTGGGCTTTTAGAATTCTCAGCATTCAGACTGAAGGGGTATTGATTACTCACCATATCCAGGAATGCCTTCTAAAGGGGAAGGTGTTCACGTGCATCATGTTGGCAGAGTGGACGTCATGAATATTTTCCTTGTCTCCTATGTTACATGTACTGATTTTCACAGATGAGTCCCAACCCTCTGGCTTGAGCATCGATCATGGACAATTATGGCAACAAGTAATGAATTCTCTCTCCCCCAAAATCGAACCCCCCAAAAAAACACAAATAGCAAAAAACAGAAAAGCCCTTCCAGGATTGAAAGAAAGAACCATCACAGAGCACTGCAGGTAGGAGTCCATCCATGTAGCTTCCACTAGTCAACACACTAAAATAACCAGTCCAATTGCTAATCCTAAATGATGGCAAATATTGTCCTGCTGAAATCCAACTGCCTCGAACATGAATTAATGCATCCTCGCAGAAAGGACTATGGAATGTGGACAAAAAGGAGTCAAAAGACAGTTTCTTGTTATCCTTGTTAAAGAAGTGTTAGGAGGGAAATGGAAAACTTCACGCTGCTTGGCCATGCTGTCCTTTAGGGAGGAATACTGCTTTTTCTTCTTTCTTAGGCACATATTCATGTGTGGTCACTTTAACGCAGTGCTACCGTCTGAGTCTGAGACTTGTCCAACAAAGACCTGGGCAGAGGGACTAGAAGCCACGTAGAGCGCAAGCCAACTTCTTCTCCAGATCTCAGAATCGCTGGTTTTGAATGCTCAAGTAAGAAGGCAATGAGCAATTTCTGCTTTGCAGGACAGGGTTAGTGCCGGCTCCCATCATGACTTCAGAAGGCGCTGTCGTGATGAAATTCATCTGTCGCCTAACCCCACAATAAGGCTGTCTGCTCTCTTTAAAGTAAAATGACTAAGCTATCGATTGTCTCACTGTAGAATCCCCTCTAATTTCTTATCAAAAGCATGTGTGACCTTTTAATATATTGCCTTGGCGAGAAAATGAATTTCACAGCTGCAAGGCAGACGTTGTCTAAGAATTTCTTACTCGGTCGGCTTTCCTTTCTCTCTGTTCTCCTTACCCCCAGTTCAGCTCCCGGATAGATGTCATTTACTCTGATGCTCTGACATCCGCAAGATTCTCATGCCCAAGCTATACAGACCTTGCATGCTTTTAAAACACAGAGTGGCAACAGGCTCCAGCTGGAGTCCCCCCACACCGAATTTCCGGCAGAACCTTTGGAATCCTCGCAGCCGCCTTGTCTGCGCGGGGGCTGCGCCGCCTCAGCCCTGAGCAGCTCAGGACACTTGCAGGCTCCGTGGTACTGTACATTAACTCTGCAGCAGCCCGCTTGCTCAGCTGCAGACTGCTGCTTGACAGGGGATGTGCTGGCGTCAAGGGGGCCCTCTAGGTGGGTTCCCGGACACTGCAGACTGGCGCGCTCTTTGCTAGCCTCCCAGGGACAGTGAGGGAAACGGGTTAAAGGGAAGAGCTTGCCCCGAAGGAGCAGATTTCTTTCAGTAAGTAATTACCAGGCAGGAAAAGCTAAAGAAACCTGTAAATAACCTCATAGGGAAATGACACGCTGAACAAACAGATATTATTGTGGGGGAAGGTTTTTCTGTGGGTTTGTTTAGTTCTTCAGCGTATTCAATGAAAAGAAAGGAAACAATAGAAGTCCAGAGAGAATGTGCAAATAATAGAGTTTTTCGTTTGCTTTTTGATTTTTTTTTTGAACAAAAATATGGGGGTGGAGAAGCCTTACTTACTAGATGATTTGTAACCAGCTAACTACAGATTTCCACACTATGATTTTAGACAGGAAATCCTGGGGAAGTCAGTTCTGCAGAAATCAGTTAGACTTCAACTGCATTTGCGCATGTCATAAAGCTTCTTGTTTGATTAGTGGGTGTGTACCTCAGAGGAGAGCTCCCTTTTTCATTTCCTGGAGCCTGCCCCCTTTGTTGCAAAAGAATTCTGTTCAACAATCCCCTGAAAGCACCCCATCACTGTTGATGCCATTTTGGAGCCAGAATAAAATAGTAAACTCTTGGAATAGTAGCTTGGCACTTGAATGGTGCTTGTCGGCTGTCAGTCAGAGAATGGGCTTCTCGGGGGTGGTATACACAGCATTAATGCGTCACTTTTAGCTTGGGTATTTAAGAAGGCCATTATGCAGTTGTTTAATATTAAATGGGGTACTGGCAACACTTAATAGATCACGCTACTTATCTTCAGTTGGTTTCCCCAGTGAGTTCTTGTCCTTGCAGAAAACATTACTTGGAGAGAGGGGAATTCACTTCCCATAAATTCTAAAGCAAGTGTAAAAAAAAAAAAATAGTTTGAGAACTGCTGTGATTTGATCAATTGATGTTTCTAGGGTAAGAATTCATTCCCGGGAGGAGGAAGATCTGAGTGCTTCCTTTAAAGCAATTTGAACTTTGCATGCAGAAAGATGGAGCCCTGTAGCACAAAGGAACTTGAGGAAAGTCTCTGGCACTTCCTGGGGCATAGGCAATGTTCTTGCAGCACCTTTGTTATGAAGGGACTGAATCTCTCTCCTAAGGTCCTATGTGATCCTTCCCAGACCCCTTCAGCTTGAATTGTTCTGAAGAAGCTAGGAATGCTTGGAATCAGGAATCACACAGTAATTCACACTTGTATATCACAGCATCATTATTTAAGATCTAGGTGTACTAGTAATGTCCTAACTGTCTTCTGAGAGTTTTACACACATCATAATCTCATTTAACCCATCCAATAGTGACTAACCCTGTGGTGTAGATGAAGTGTAGAGGCACTTAGATGTTAAAGGGATCACAGGAAGACTAACGTACCTGAAGCAAGAAGGCTGAGCACACAGCTCTCAACTTGTTTCTCCACTGCAGGAAGGAGAACGGACTGGCACCAGCTTAATGCTTTCTAAGATTTTTGCCTGTGTTATTCTATCTCCACAAAATTAAGTGTTTTACCCCTTTTGGAATGAACTCTAAGGGCCAGCATCTGTCCATCATCACTCTTTCAGGGAGAAGAAGCCCTGGAGTCCTTTCAGGCCATGGTATCTGTCCTTTTTCTTCTATGGTAGGGATGGTGGGACAGGTATTAACTGTCCCCAAACCTGCACCTACTTCCTATGCCGTGTCCACAAGAAGCCCTTCTTAGAAAGTAGCATAGATAGAAAAGAATGTAGTACTATAGTTTCCCCTCTAATAAGCATTTTTCATTTGACATGTTTTGTTTGAGTACATATGATTTCCATTCTATTCATAGGCCAAAATCCTCCCATCTCTCCCCGAAAGAATACAGTTTAACGTCTGATACTGGCTAGGAGTGACAAAGGCAAAATACTTTATAGAGTGAAAACACAAGGCGACTCAATCATTTGGTCATTAAAAGAGATTTTTAAGTTAAAGTATACTTTGTGAAGATATTTCAATCAATATTCCAGTGTGGGCCCTTGAAATTGAGGCCTCACAAATGTTAGACATACATTCTGCCACTGAGTTATTCCATACTTACCCTTCAGTTTAATGTTTTTTAGGTGAACTTTATTTACTTTTCTATGTGTAACCGTATCAAATAAAGTAGCAAGAGCTAGATAGTAACAACTGAGAAACTATATTAAGCACTAAAAACTCTTGAAGCAGAACAAAGAAAAATATAATTTATCTCATAGTTCAGGGAGCTAAGATGACAATGTAACGAATAACCTTAAGTTGCTCAGTTTTGCAGACTCAGAGCAAATATGAGAGAACAGGTTTGTGTCGTCTATCAGAGCGGTTTTTGATTCTGAACTGGAATCAGAGTTTTCAGAGGCGTGGCCACTAAGTTACAAAATGATAGCGTACGAGACCATACTTAATAGATGCGCGACTTTCAGAAACCAGCAGCAGCAGTCTGTCAACTTAGAAAGCAGTTCTACAAGGTGAAGAGCGTTGAGGGACTAAGGTACAACCTCTCTGTTTTGTTATGTTTGAAGACAGCTGTTACTTTCCGCAACTTCTAATTGCAGGTGAGCCATTACAGGCTTCCTTGCTCTTCTCAGCCTAATGGCTGCTACCCATCAATAAAGCCTCTCCACTCTCTAGCCACTAGTCACCTTGAGGTCCCTGTGGCTGTGCCGTAGCCTCGGTTCAACCAGAAGCAAGACTGGTTATGTTTTGTGGCCTTTAAAATTTCAGTCCTGCACAAAGCGTAGGAGTAGTTGATCTTTGGAGACCAGACCAGCATTAACTACCCTTGAACGAGATATGCAAGCAAAAACATGGTTAATTTACTATTCAAGTGAGAGCTAAAACATAGGGCAAATGAAAATGCCTTGGTCAACACTTTCATTTAAAAGCTATTTAGGGCTGGGGAGGTGGCTTGCGGGTAAGACAAATGCTCAGCAAACATTGGGGTCCTGAGAACCAACACAGAAAAGCTGGATACGGTTATATGAGTACCTAGTTACTAGTTTTATGGAGGATCAGAGGCAATAGCTCCAGGTCCCGTGAAAAGCTGACTCAAGGGATGGAGCAGGACACTGGTGACCTGCCCTGAGAGCACACACACGTGCATACACCAACACAAACATTCACACCTATATACATCATTGCTCAAAGCAAGAATTAACTACCCAACATTGCCACTTCCGTGCTAATAAAATTCTTTTTGTAAGAAGGAGGCTAACTCCAAAAGGGTGACAGTTTTTTAGTCTAAACTCTCGGGACCGTGACATTTTGTAAAGTTGCCTTCGCCCACTCACGAGCCAAAGTGGAGACAGGGGGTCTCTTTTTGCTCCTTCCTCTCAAAGTTTGCTCTTCACAAAGAGGCATAGAGAGCCAACACCTTCTTCAGAATCTCGTACTATTACTCTATGTTTGAAGTCTCCATTCTCTTCAAATTCCTCCAATTTTCACCATGCCTTTCAGGTAATAAGGCTAAGTTATACCATCGTGCTAATATAATCAAAGAACAGTAAAGCCACACCCTGGTCACTGAACTCGGGTGTTTCCTTAATCCTTAGTCATTTGTACTTTATCAGAAACGGGAGGCGAGGTGAATTAACTCATTGATTTTTACCCGGTGAGTTTCACTTTCAGAGAAACTTTTCATTTTAAATAGCAACAGAAATCTTAGTGTCACTAACATATGCTGGAATAATTAATAAGCTAATATCAGTGTTACCTTGGATGAAACAAGATGAAAATACCCCTGTGTTTAGACATGAAATGACAAGTACCTAAAACAAAATCCTTCATTAATTTTGTATGAATTTGTAACCATCTGTACAGTTGTGTTAGGGAGTCTGCCATCTCTCAAGGGGCTTGTTAACCTTTGTTCTTCTGTCATTAAAAGACAGTATCTTGGCCCTTTGGTTTATGTAAATTTATTATATGTAATATATTAACATATAAAATATATTTATATATTGTAGCACATGGTATCTATATACTAATAATACATATACTATATACTAATAATAAAGTATGTTATATTGAAGTAAATCAAAACAAGATCCATTTGGATGTCTTAACAGATCACAGCAAATTTGAAGACAAAAAGTAGAATTTACATTTTGTCTTGGTGTCTCAAGATGTTATTCCTTAGTTTTAGGTTCTGACTGCTTATGTTTTGTATTCTAAATCTCTTTGAGATACCATTTGGTTTTATATATACAGCTCTCTCTCTCTCTCTCTCTCTCTCTCTCTCTGTGTGTGTGTGTGTGTGTGTGTGGTGCCTGTACTCACATAAGTAAAATCTGTGTATGTAAAATGTATGTGTATATATCTACACTACATATGTGTGTGTATAAACTTACAGTCTTACATACTATTTTATTTACTGAAATAAACTAGTAATAAGCTACTTTTGGGTACAAAGAGTATTTATTAAGTGTTACATATGTTTTAATGTTTTTCTTCTAATATAAATACTGATTTTCCAGTAAGATACAATTTTCTTATTTCAATGTTTTGGTGTGTTTATGACATGAAAACCATCATTGGCACTCACTAAATGTTACCCAATGACCGTATTAATAGTGATGAAATTCTCCTTCTGACAG